CAGGGCAGGGAAGGGGGGGATTGCAAATTCACCCCACAAACCAGATCCAAAGGAACACCCCAAAAAAAACCCAACAAAAACATTTGGTCACTATTTACAAACAGCAAAAGAAAAGGTACCTACAAAAGCAGGGAAAGCGTTGGCTGAAAATGGCAGTCATTCACGGACAGGCAACAAAGAAATCACTTTATCAATATGCCATTCTCACCCCTGTTGCTGTGGAGGGATGCTTCGCCTAAATTTGCAGCATCCCCCAAAAAAATGCTTACCATGTATTTAGTGACTGGCAGCGGTGGAAAAATCCCAACAACCAACGCTATTCAGCTGTCTCAGAACAGAATATGTGTATCTGGGGTATCATCCACTGATCTTAAACTTTTTTGTCCTTTTTTTTTTTTTTTTTAAAGATGTCAAACTATCCACTCCAATAATAAGAAACAAATTACCACTTGGTTTATACTTACTATTGCAGTTACAGGTACTAAGAGAGGGACAAAAAGAAAAAATTTAAAATGAATAGGAGGAGGAGTGGCAGTAAAAATAGTATTTTATTCCCTTGCCCACCCAGTCTGCTTCTCCCTCTCGTTCCCACAGCAACATTACAATCAGAAAAAAAAAAAAAAAAAGAAAAAAAAAGAAAAAAAGGTTGGGGTGTGGGGAGGGGAAATACAGGGTAAAAACAGTCAAATCACAATAGGAAATTTTCAAAATAGGTTTTTCAGTTTAGTCGTCTTCATCCCCTTCGTCTTCAGGTTCTCGTTTTCTCTTCTGTCCCCGTTCTTCATCTAGAAAATAAAACACAACTTGAATTATATGAGTGCTCCCTCACGCTGCTGACAAGTTGAACAAGTTCAACAAGCTTCTACTTTGGCAACTGGCTTGCTATCAAAGGAGCAGGAATACAAACATGAGCCTGCCTTTCAAAAATGGTTTTTTACATTTTTTAAAAAAAATACTATTATTATTTTATCTCTAGCAAAAACTGGATTGCTGCCATACCGGGCTCTTCTTCATCTTCATCGTCATCTACCTCACCATCGTTGTAGCCTTCTCTTTCAATGGCAGAAAAAAAAAAAAAAAAAAAAAGAAAAACAGAAGGATTAGAAAAGTCGGTTTCAGTACAGGACCTTTCACAATTTGGCAATACCCAACAGCATTTTACAACAGAAAGTCCTTGAAGCATCTTAAACAAAAACCAAACAAAAAGGCAGACACTTCCCATGCACTTATATAAAAGTGCAGTTTTTTGCTACAGTGTAACTGGCCTCCGGCCCGTTATATTTTCATTGCAGAAAATCACAGGCAATCACAGCAGCCACTTGTAGCTTCACGTCTTCAGCGAGAAAATGGTTTTATACTTCACACTGATAGGTAGCTGCAAATTTTGTTACGGTATCCTGAGCTTAGTAACACTTGACTGGTCAGTAGGAGAATGCACGTGTTCTGGGGGTAAATAGATGTACAACACAAAGAGCCATCTCCAGAGCCCGAGGAGCTGCTGTCGGCTTTGAGAAGAGGCTGACCAACCATTCGGGAGTGGCAGTTAAGCATCTAAGACTGTTTGGCCAGAGGACAGATAATACAACCTCCTGCAGTCGAATTTTAGCCCGGTTCCCAGTGGTTGTGCTAACAGCAAAGTCTCAGCAGACTCGGACTGGCTCAGCACACCCTACGCACAGGGGCTGGACTACGCAAACAAGTTAAGCACCCTGAGGAATCACAAGGTACGTGCCCGAGGAGGAACCTCGCTCTGAAAGCACAGGGTCAGTAATTCACGTACCACTCTCTCGTCCGTACGGAAGCTGCGACGCCAGCCCTTCAAAGGCGCCACAAACGAGGTCTGCGGACGTTCCCAAAAGTGTTTTTGACATCAGCCCAATAAACAGGATGATTTCATGTCAATGGTCACTAGATGGCAGCTGGCTCATAGACAGGCATGCCTCAAAGCCGCCCTGCCACGATGCTTCTCAAGTAAAAATGAAAGCACATGCTTCAAGTACTGAAAGCCTCCACTATTTGGTCCATTTCTCATCCAACTATTCCCACTCCACACCCATTATTAACTGCATAAACCCTTACCTCCTCTTCTCCGCTCACATCCTCCTCTTCACCTTCCTCCTCTTCCTCCTCATCTTCTTCATCTTCTACTACCTGAGCATCATCATCATACTCCTCTTCTATACAGTCAAACAAGATTAACCACTCAGACATTTAAAGTTTACTTTCCTCCCCTCCCACATTGCCACCTGAGACGTGCACCCCTATCGAGACAAGGAGCAAACTGCCAGCATTGCTTAAGGGCAGTACAGAACGAAAGGCGGCTCTCCAGCTGCTAGACAGGGCTAGATGTGGTCCCGTGCCTCTCTAGCCTGGCGACAGGGTAGCGTGGCAGCTGCACCCGTGGTCTGTGCTGCTCCAGGGCTGCAGGGACCTTGACAGTAAGTCACGGCAGCCTTGGGACTGCTTTAGCTTCAGCTGCTCCAGTTCCCACTACTGATACGCATTTTTGAGCCCGTGGGACACTCGCTGCTCTTCATCTGCAAGTGTCCATCTGCTCCCACCAGGGATAGAGCTAAACTTTACAAGCCAACCATGCACTGGGAACCCTCCCTAAGGGACACCCCTCGTTGCCAGAGCAATATAAAAGGGTCACACACAATCCATCTTAGGGGTTTGCAACCTCTCTTCAAGAGGAAAGAGATTAAATGCAACTAGCCCAAGCAACAAACCAGAAATTTGTTTTCCATGCTGCAGGAATGGCATTTTGGAGCTTTTCCATGCACGTGAATGCAGACTCAGACTTGTGCTCTGATGAGGAGAACCCGTCCCTGCGGAACCTGCGTGCTGCTGGCTGAAGGCACCACTCTGCCAGGCGCTGCTGCAGCGCTCGCCCCTCTCGCCAGCGCTCACATTCAGCACTCGAGGGAAAAGTGCAAGTCCAGCTATTCTGCTTTTGCTGCGCAGCTGGGTTTGAAGAGTCTAGCAAATTCCCCCAACTCAGCTGGATACTCATCCGACCGGTAGAGTGATGCTTCCGAGCACAGTCTGCCGGGGAGGCAGAGTGGCACCTACAGTGCAGCAGGACCCACCATGCGCTCTCCTAACACTAAAAAGTTTCTTGTTGTTTCGTTAGTGCCTTTCACAGAGCTTGCCCCTGGCAGACTTCAATACACACGCTCTCCTCTCTTCTGCCTGATCCCAACCAGTTCCCTTTGTCTTCACGGAGCAGCTACAACCTCCTATTAATGCCTTGGCTCCTTTACTTATTTCCTTGACACAGCTATGTTTTTCTATGGCCATTGTGGTTTTCCACCCTACCCTTCTCCATCAGGGTCTACTCCAATGTTCCTACTTCCCTGATCGTGTGGTTCCTGGAAAACTATAGCATGTGCATGCTGTCCTCTCTTACCCATTTCTCCCTTCTGTCCTCAGCCCCTGGGGTTTACTGTTCCCTGAACTCTTTCAGTGTCCTACTGCTCCTCCTGGCCTCTTTCTTCTACTGCCCTTTTACTCCCCACCTTCCACCAGAGGTAAGGCTGAGAAAGCAGCGCTTTCAGGCCCTCTCCTTTCCCCTCATTCCCTCAGAGGACACTGAGGTACTTCTGCTTCACATCGGTCGGAAGGAGCTGCTGAGGACACCCTTCTCCTGCCAGCAAGTCAGAGCTGGAAGTAAAACCTACCACACAACATATCAATCTTACGACTTACGTACACCGAGTAGCACAAATTCACATACCATCTTCATCCTCCTCCTCGTCGTCTAAGCCCTCCACGTAGCCCTCTGCATCAGAGTCCGGTGCTTCTTTGTCATCCCGATCTTTCACTAGAGATAAGACTGAGAAAGTAGCTCTTTCAGGCCCTGCCCATCTCCTTTCCCCTCGTTCCTTCAGAGGACACTGAGGTACTTCTCCTTTACATCAGTCAGGAAGGAGCTGCTGAGAACACCCTTCTCTTGCCAACAAGTCAGAGCTGGAAGCAAAATGTACTAGGCAGCATATCGATCTTTTAACTTACGTACACTAAGTAGCACAATTCACATACCATCTTCATCTTCCTCCTCATCGTCTAAGCCCTCCACGTAGCCCTCTGCATCAGAGTCCGGTGCTTCTTTGTCGTCCCGATCGTAGCCATCGAGGTATGTGAGTTGCGGGAGGAGCTTGAATACGTTTTCTCTATAATCGTTCAAGTTGGTTACCTCGCAATTGAAAAGATCTAGACTCTTCAGGTTTTCTAACTTTTTCTGCAAGGAAAGAAAAGTCTCTGAAGTTCAGTGTGACAAGAATTCTCTACAGAGCAGAGAATGCAACAGCAGCCAGAGTTAACATGCTCAAGAGCTTCCCGTGACAAAAGGCTCATTTTGGTCTCTGCCTACTAAACTGGCGTGGAACAGAAACCTGCACTGCTTGGCCACTGCTGCTTCGGAGCCTGAGAGCGGAAAATGCTCTCTCTCAAGTTCAGCATCTCGCAAGTAGAAGACTGAAGTTTGAAAAGGGGTCGTAGTGCAAAATCACACATGGTGCGAGGGGCCAGGCTAAGAATAAATTATAGCATGGTCAGTTATCTCAAAAGTGCAAGGCAAGATAGTGGAGCCAGCAGTCAGGTATATTTAAACTAATTTCAACGGAAGAAGACACAGACTACTCTTCGGACACAAGAATTTTGCTAAGAGAGATTTTAGGAGATTTAATGACTGTACCTTAGCCTTTGGAAAAATAAAAGAAGGCTGAGAAATTGAACAGGAATTAAATTCCTGGTTTTAATTTTTTTTTTTTTTTTTTTTTTTGAGGAGGTGGTCTGCATTGCCTACACCACTTTCAAATACTAACAATGATAGCACAAGCAGTTGAGGATTTGCATCAAGTCTTATGAAGTTATTTCCCCTCTGGAGTTCAGCGTGTAGACCAACGGTGACATCAAGAAAACAGCCTGAAACTGGGAGCAGTTACAATCCCCTCTCTCATCTGTTTGCTACATGAGTGTAACTGTTCTCTCCCTTTCTGCTGGGGGAAAGGAGATCCAAGATGGACTCATGTGAGAACTGCTCCTTCAGACATTTTAAGAGCAAGTATTTAGGAAATAAGCATGAGCCAAAACTCTTCATTTCTTGGAGAGCAAAGGGTGCACAAACCAAAAACTGGAAAACAGCACCACCAGAATTGACACTTGGATGCTTTTTGGAACCACAACCTGACAAACTTGAACTCAGCACTTGAAATAAGGAGTATAATGACAGGAGAGGTAATGGAAGCCAGCCGGAATGAGTCGGAGGCTCAGCGGCCCCTGCCCAGCTGCAGTGAGCAAACCCAGCACTTTTTTTTCCCGCCGGCCCCGACCACCACCAGCACGCACTGCACGCCCAGGCAGAAGCGGTGCCCGGTGACTTCTGAGCCAAGGCTTTGGGGAAAACACACCGAGCTCAAGCAGAGCGTCTGGCAGACGGCCCCGCGGCCCAGGCCAGGGCGGAAAGCCGCTGGG